AATTCCATGCAATAGAGATCGAAAGAAAAGAAATATGAATCAACCCATCAAATCAAGAAATAGCTACATCCTATGGTGTTTCCCCCAGAAATCGGGGCTTAGTTCATGAAGAAAATAAAACACACAATCATGTTTATAATCATCATCGTATCAATTAAAGCTAAAGGAAAAATACTGAGATTCTCGAACGTTATCCCGGTACCAGCTCCTTCTCGCTCCAATCGCCAATCGTTCGCTCGCAAGTACTGCCGCCTGCGCTGCTCTCCCCGCGAGCTTGGCAATCTCCCAAAAAGAAGTCTCCGGCTCCCCCCCCCCCCCCCCAGAATAATTCCGCCTTGGCAAAAAATAAAAATAGCCGCATTGGAGAAGTCGTTTTCTCACAATAATTCTGCTCCACTCTCTCCCTTCAATTCCGTCCCAATTCTTTTCTCCCCTTCTAAATATGTCCAACTAAATTACGTTCTCAAGCTGCATCCTCCCAATTAAGATCCCCACGTCCTATTAATTGCTCCCCTTGGGACAAAGTAAGTCTCTCTCCTCCTGCCCGGTCCAAGTAATTCAGTGGGCCAATCCAAGCCCAAAAACACTGCTGCCGTTCAACTCCTTGCAGCCTGCTCCAATTATTCGGTCCCCAGGGAAGCTCGAACCAATCTCCTTTATCGTGCTTTATTCACCTGTAATACATCAAACTCATGGCACTAGGCAGTAATGGTTTTTGAACCATTCTCGGGTTAGCGACCCCTAAACTTGCATCAATGGGCTTAAACATATCATGGGATAGTCACATAAAATTCAAGAATCCGATATATTAAAGCCGATTATCACAACCCCACACTCAATTGTTGCTTGTACCTAAGCAACGACTCAAACAACACAAACACATAACCATCCATACCAATGACACACCACAGACTCAACAATCAAACACTCAAAACAAAACAAAATTTTCCTTGTACTCTTGTTGTAATCAGTAGTTTCTTTCTCAAAGGATGAGTTGTGCTATATTGATCATACCTTTTCACCCCACACTCAAGGTCTCTGCAACCCTTAACCATTGACTGACTCAAATCCATCAAAAACTCAAATAGAAACACTCAATTCCGATCGTCAGTAGTGGGTGATTAACAACTTATGGTGTAACAGTTATTAGGAGAATCTAACCACTACAGTGAGGTGCATATCTCGTGAGGACAATCTGGCTTACTCACACCAATCATAAGCAATTAACAAAGCACGAGTCTCAAAAACTAATGGGGGAAGCCTTTCGCAAACATGATTTTAACTTTAAGCACATCACTACCTTTTATGACAAGGAGAGACTTTCTCTCTTTCTGATTTTGCTTGCCGAGTGGTCATATTTAGTACAAGTGGGATTTTTTTCTTACTACCGGTGACCGAGCAAGAGCAATTTATGCTTCTTAGCACTCGCATAAGGGCTTCTTTTAACTCCTTTTCCTCGGTCCGTGTGGAGGGTCACTACACATCCTCAAATGGCACTTCACTCAAGTGGGGATCGTACTTGATAAGCAACATCGTACGGTCGCGAACCGATTCTCAATTGAATCTTTCCTAATCCCCATGTGCAATGAGTGATTGCCTCACACGATTTTGGCATTTTTACCCACACTTTAATTGTTGTGGCAACTTTCTTATATTTTACTTGTCAGGCAGTGTTTTCTTTTATAAAGATAAAGTTCACCCCATCATAAAACCTTTTAAAACAGAGAGACTCAATGCAAAGTCAAAAGCTCACAACAGATGCAAGTAAGCACGGTATCCAAACATGTCAATGGTCAATGTTCTCCACCTAACCACTTCACCAAAAGTCATTACACTATCCTCACAAAAGTGAATGTTGCTAAAAGAGTTTGCTAATTCAAAGCACATCAAGTCAGTCAAAACATTCAAGCTCATTGTGAAGAACTATGCAATTCAACACTAGTGGGATGATTTTGATGACTTCATTCAAGCACAAACTCATTTTACACGCATCACGGTCATTTACATCATGTCACCACAAGAGTACAAGGTTTTGTTTTTAATTTTTCTGATTTTTAGGTGTTTTTTAGCCATTAGCTTTGCACAGGCAGAATGCATCAACACAGGAAAAATGCATGCAGTTTGGCTGTGCATAGCCAAATGACAGTTTTTTTTTTTTTTTGCTACATGCATCAGGGACAAACAAACACCAAGACTCACCACCCCACACTTAGGATGGAACAATGTCCCTAATGTTCAACTCCTAATCTAAACATGCACGGGTTTGACACAACGTAAAAGAAAAATAAAGAAAAGAAAACCTACCTTGGGTTGCCTCCCAAGAAGCGCTTGTTTAACGTCCTCAGCGTGACGTTCATGGAGCTTTCAACCAATGGGTATGGAAAGGTATCCAGAATACCCTCCTGAGCAATGATAGAACGTATAACCTCCATCCAACATATGAGTCACCTCTGCAGGGCCAGGTGTGCGAAAATTTGGTATGACCTTTATAGCTTGCATGTTGGACCCCTTAGTGAGGCATAGGTGGTATTGCAGAGCCTCAAGCAAGTACTCTTCCTGTTTCAATGTCAGTGAAGAAGGAATAATAACAGGAAGATTGAAATCCTTACCCAAATATCTATACTTGAGGTGACCTGGCAAGGATTTCTGCACTTGCTTTGATTTCAGACTTTGAGCTGATAGGACTGACTCGCTATGACACAACACCTAACAAAGGCCAAGTGTAACCAATGAAAGGGACTGCAGTATAGTGGCTCAAGTGATAAATATCGAATCCACGGGTCTCTAGAGTTACTATTACTCAGCTTCAGTTTATTATTTAGCAAATCAGATTAAGATGAAAGAACTAAAACTACTCTAGCAAACTACAGTTAAAGTTAATCTAATTACAGGTTGGGAACTCACTTAGGTATGATTCCCCCTAGCCACTAGCCAGACTAACGATTGATGATTTCCAACTTGTTTCACTTTCATTCACTATGCGGAGAATCCTTGAGTAGACCTTGAGTCTCGACTAAAGGAACAAGGCCCTCTTGAGTCAATTGCCTAGAGGGACGTATCCTTCTCTAGAACAACTGATCAAGGCGTTCTGAACTAGACTCCCTCTATCGAAAGAGGTTCTCAATCGATACAAAGCAGTGAATCAACCCTCGACTAAAGCAATCGATCCACTACTATCAATCTATGGTACTCTATTGACCTAATCAGGTATTCCCTCTCATAGAATCAAAGCAGAATCAATAATCTCGACTAAAGCAGAATTGAATCATGAAAACATGCATAGATTGAATATGAACTCAAGATTATCAAGTCAGAGTACTCATACAATCATCCAATCAAACAAACATGGCTAGGGTTCTTCAAAACCTAAGTGAAGGGAAGTTACTCCATAGAGAAGAGAGAGACTGCAGTAAGAATCTTCAGATGATCAGTCTTCAAGTCCGGGCTTGTTCCTCGAGCTTCCAAGGCGAAGAAATCCCCCAACTCCACTCCAAGAATGCCCTCAAATCGCCCTCTCTCTCTTTGGTTCGTCCCTTGGGTGTTTGGGATCCAAAACCCAGCTCTCTTTCTCCTTTGGCTCGAATTTGCGTTAAAAAACCTGATTCTGGGCAAAACACGGTCGAGGGCACGGCCGTGCTTTGCTTTTGACCGCCCGTGTTTTGCCCCGTGTTAAAAACACGCTCGCGCGCGTCGGCCAAAACACGGTCGTGCCTAAATATGGGCACGGCCGTGTTTTGATTTAGGCGCGCCCGTGTTTTTACTGCCGAACCTGTTCCCCTATATTCAATGCTTCGTTTCTCCCTCGTCCGGACTCCGAATCAGTCGCCGTTTGATCCCAGACGCTCGTAGTCTCGTCCTCTTTCTTTTCATGACAAGCTTGCATGATTCTTTGTCCATAAATTGAGGTATAAATTCATTCTTCTTCAGGTCATGCCCGAGTTTCTTCTCCCTAATCGCCAATTGATCTCTGATTGACTTGAAACTTGCGCCTATGCTTCACTTTATGTGCTAGGACCTGAAATATCACAAACAAGCACAACCTAGCGTGAAATCGGTCTAAAACACGAGAAACCACATCTCAAACGGTGTAAGAACAGGGGTGAAAACATGTGTAACTAACGGTCTATCAAGGACATGTGATAGTTCTTTGGGTGGTCCACTATCATAGGAAGGTGAATTTTTCCTTTCTCGAGCTCCACTTTCAAGGTCATCAAATGCATCGTGATTATGATCAACTTGAAAGACATTAAAAATTTCCTCCTCCTTACCTACTCGGAATGTCAGTTTGCCTCTCCCAACATCGATGAGTGCATCTCCAGTTGCTAGAAAAGGTCTACCAAGAATGAGAGGCACTCCTCGATCTTCTTCCATCTCCAGAATTACAAAATCTGTTGGGAGAATAAACTTCCCCACCTTCACCAATATATTCTCCACCACTCCTTTTGGAATTTTCACTTAAAGATCAGCCAATTGGAGAGTGATCCGAGTAGGCTTAAGAACATCTCTCAATCCCAATTTCTTGTAGAATGAGTATGGCATCTAATTAATTCCTGCTCCAAATCACAAAGTGATTTATCGAACTCTCTACCTCCAATGACACATGGAATGGTGAAGCTTCCTGGATCATCCCTCTTTTCTGGTAATTTATTCTGAATCATGGCACTACATTCAGAAGTAAGGGTTACCTTCTCCAGATCAGCCCATTTGCGCTTCTTAGTCAGCAACTCCCTTAAGAATTTATCATATGTAGGCATCTGTTCAAGTGCCTCCGCCAACAGTATGTTGATATGAAGTTGCTTGAAGAGATTCACAAATTTTTTGAAGTTTGGGTCTTCCATAGGCTTCATTAACCTTTGAGGGAATGGTGCAGGAGGTTCATAAGGCTTTACCTCTTCATTCTTGAGTTTTTGCACTTTTGGAGTTGCACATGCAGAATGCTCATGCACAGGCAGATTGCATGCAGTTTGCCTGTGTAAGTCAGATTTTTCAGCTTTTGCACTTTATTCCTCTGCAGCTGCTTTGCTCTCCTTTTCTACTGGATTTTTCTTGCTCTTTGGATCCTCCAACTCCTTCCCACTCCTCAATGTGACTGCTACAACCATGGCGTCCTTCGGATTCCTCTCAGTATTTGCTGGTAAAGTCCCTGGAATCCTACCCTGAATATCTGCCAAAGTTTGAGCCATCTGGCCTATTTGCCTCTCCATAGCTAGCATAGATGATTGCATATTATTGTTGATGGCTAGCTTTTGAGTGACAAATTGATCAAGACCCTTGATATTATTGTCTGTTTTCTGCATATGAGCCAAAATCAACTCCTCCAGCTGGGGCTTCTTCTCTGGTTGAGGCTGCCGCTGTTGAAAACCAGGAGGTGGGATGTTTCGAACACCAGCTGGATTATTATTCGACCACAACATGTTAGGGTGATGTCTCCACTGAGGTTTATATGTATTTGAATACATACCACCCTGGCCTTGACTTTGCGGATTATTGATATATTGGACATCTTCCAACTGAGCAGCTCCCAGTGGACACATATCCCTATGATGAGGAACCTCGCAAAGTTCACATGAAGAAACCTCCTCTTGTCTACCCAGAGCAATCTTGGCCAGCCTTCGTTCGAGTGCATCAAACTTGTAATCCAGTTTAGCATCCAACTTGGCTTCGAGACTTGTAACTCTGTTTATCTCATGCAAGCCTCCTCTTCTTCAAATACTGGTCTCACTACCCCATTCAGTGGCTTCTGAACAGATCTTCTCTCCAAGTTCATATGCTGCTGGAGCCTCCATCCTTGTGAAACCATTTCGAGAAGCATTATTTAGGGCATCCCGGAACTCCCTTCTGATTCGATTGAAGAAAATAATGATCACGTTCCAATCTTCAAGACCATGGCTTGGGCATCTCATCAACAGCCCCTTGTAGCGCTCCCATGCCTCAGTCAGACTCTCATCATCAGCCTGCTTAAAAGTAACAATCTCTTCTTGTCTCTTCATTGCCAAGGCAGGTGGTAAGTACTTATCCAGAAAGACTTTCTCAAGCTGAGCCCATGTCGTGATGGAACGTGGTGTTAAGTTCTGAAACCAGTGTGATGCATTCACAATCAGGGAGAATGAGAACATCCGAAGACGAATTGCATCATCAGACATAGTTGGGCTCTTCATCGTATCACATATGCTCGCGAACCGACGGAGATGCTCGTGAGGATCCTCATTGCTAGCCCCGGAGAAAGTATATCCATTGGTGAACATGTTGATAAATGCTGGAGTAATCTCCATGGTTGCATTCCCAGCCGGAATGACAACACATGAAGCTCGGGCTCCAGTCCGTCGATTCAAACGAGCCCTGATCGAACGATCCTCGTTTGCCATGATGTCTGGCTCAATGTCACGAGGTGGTGGTGTCGGTCGTGTAGGGACGATAGGTGATGAAGCCTGCCCTCTCTGTTGACGATTCTTGGTTAGGGAAGGACTAGGAGTTGTGGTTGGCTGCTTCCCTAACTTGAAATGCTTCTTGTTCTGACGGCAGGTCTTCTCAATCTCCGGATCTAGTGGCAGTAAATTGCCATTCTTCTTCCTAGGCATGCACGAGGAGGATAAACCTGAAAACTCTTCTGCACACTAACACCCAGATCAAAATAGTTCACTCACAAAAATCAACAAAAATAAGGTATGGCAGTCCCCGACAACGGCGCCAAAAACTTGATAGGGCAAAAGCATAATGCCAATTCCTATCTTGTAGTAAACCGGAAGTCCGGGTATCGTCTCTCAGGGACTGGTACAACCTTATGATTTATCAATTCTGTGGAGCAAACTATAGGTGAAACTGGTTTGGTTGATGAAATTATTATCTAATAGCAAAATAATTAAACAAAACAAGTAAATTAAAATGGTCGGGAGAAATTCAATGGAGAAAGCTCTGGGAGAAACACCGGGACTCACTACCTATCATATCAAAATTAATTCACATATTCCAATCAATTTAATTCAATTCTCCACAGCCAGGATATCACGAATGTGCTAGCTATCCCTGTCGAGAATTACTACGTACTAAACAATTAATTCAAATCCTACTGTCATAGCTCACTGAATTAACTATTTAGCCTGAAGAACGATAACCCAATCAAGACCGCATAGTACCTTATTTAATCCACTGTCGCTTCGATAAGTTACTATGTCGTATGAAATAGGTTCAGTTATTAGGGTTTCACTGTCGCTAATAACCTAATTAACTAAGAATCATTGTATTGGTGGCCAGTCAACACAAAGCATTAAGCAATTCCATGCAATAGAGATTGGAAGAAAAGAAATATGAATCAACCCATCAAATCAAGAAATAGCTACATCCTATGGTGTTTCCCCCAGAAATCGGGGCTTAGTTCATGACGAAAATAAAACACACAATCATGTTTATAATCATCATCGTATCAATTAAAGCTAAAGGAAAAATACTGAGATTCTCTAACGTAATCCCGGTACCAACTCCTTCTCGCTCCAATCGGCGATCGTTCGCTCGCAAGTACTGCCGCCTGCTCTGCTCTCCCCGCGAGCTTGGCGATCTCCCAAAAAAGATGTCTCCCCCCCCCCCCATAATAATTCCTCCCTGGCAAAAAATAAAAATAGCCGCCTTGGAGAAGTCGTTTTCTCACAATAATTCCGCTCCACTCTCTCCCTTCAATTCCGTCCCAATTCTTTTCTCCCCTTCTAAATATGTCCAAGTAAATTACGTTCTCAAGCTGCATCCTCCCAATTAAAATCCCCACGTCAATTAATTGCTCCCCTTGGGCCAAAGTGAAGTCTCTCTCCTCCTGCCCGGTCCAAGTAATTCAGTGGGCCAATCCAACCCCAAAAACACTGCTGTCGTTCAACTCCCTGCAGCCTGCTCCAATTATTCGGTCCCCAAGGAAGCTCGACCCAATCTCTTATATCGTGCTTTATTCACCTGTAATACATCAAACTCATGGCACTAGGCAGTAATGGTTTTTCAACCATTCTCGGGTTAGCGAGCCCTAAAATAGCATCAATCAGCTTAAACATATCATGGGATAGTCACATAAAATTCAAGAACCCGATATATTAAAGCGATTATCAATTATGCCAATGGCGGGGTGCGACTGCCGCCGAACGCGTTCCTGACGAAGCAGATTGCGAGGCACAAGGGGATTTTTTAGAGCGAGAGAGGCAAGGTGCGGTTTGAGTGTGAACCGCATCTGGGCCTAAACTGCATCTTGGCAATGCGGTTTCGTGTCTGACCTAACAGAACCGCATGGCCTAGGTGCGGTTCTTGGTCTAACCTAGCAAAACCGCACGTTGGGATGCGGTTTTGTTTCTCCAAAAAAACCGCACCCTCAACATGCGGTTTTGCCCACACAAACCGCACACCCCCCCCCCCCCCCCCCACATGCGGTTTGTGTGTCGTCCCCATTTTTCCGACATAAAACATGTTGTCGTGCAGGTTGACAGACGTGGGGCTGCATGGCAAATGAAAACCGCACCCTCCACATGAGGTTTTCATTGATGATTTTTCCTATAAAAGACAGCCCTGGGAAACCTCTTTTCTTCACACCTCTCCTCCCTTTTCAATTTTCTATTGTAGCTCCCTACTTCGTAAGTTTATTTTGTATTACTTTTTATTGTGATTTTTATGATATTAACTGAACTATGGTTTTTTTGCAGATGACATTCCAAAAGTTCACGCTTGGGTTACGGTGGAATGGTTACACGGCAGAGACCGGAAAGGGGGTCACCTACGTCGGTGGCAATTTTCAGAAAATAAAGGTCGCTACCAGATCGATGCTTGAAGACCTCCATCAAATGTGTACTAATATTACTTGCATGGATGGCACGAGAAGAGTTGATCGTATGGTGTACTGATATCAAAACAGAGAAGGAGGGTCGTTGTGGCACGAGGAAGATCTCATAACCACTCAGGATGGAGTAGATGCCATGCTCGAATTCTTGAGGTCCAACTATTTTTCCAAAGCCAAGATGTTTGTTTACACCGAGGAGGTCGTAGGCGTTGGAGGTCATTTTGGAGACGGTCAAACATCTACTATCCATGGTGGAGGTGAATTATATGGAGATCATCCCTACCAAAGTTACAATGATCGTCATTCCTATTTTCAGTACCAAGAGCAATGTGAAGGTCATCATCAATCTTTCCCATCATATTCACTTTGAATCCATGATTTTGGACCATCCATAGGTTGCAAGACATGCTGATAAGTATTCCAGAAGTTTTGGATGAAGAAACAATATGAAATATACATGAAAGGATCTTTATCTTCATAGAGCAAACAAGCTATAGCATGAGGGCAAGAGATACCAGACAATTCCCATGATCTGCAAGAGCACACATGTTGAAGAAGCTTCACAATGGATCTTTCATCGAGATGCCTCACCTCATAATCATGCTGTCCATTTAAGACATTCTTATTAAACTTCTTTAATATCCTTGGGCAATATAAGTCATTCCACTTATTCCCCAATATCATCTTCGTGGAAACCATCTCTAAAACCATAACACGAAGATCATCTAACATGTTGAAGATGGCCTTGTATCTAGCTTCTAAGATGGAGGCATTGAATGATTCAGACATGTTGTCAAATGTATCAAATTTTGAGAAGTATGATCGACACTAGTGTTATGGATCGATTGACAGCAATGTGATTGCATCATCTTTATTTTCAACAACTAATCTTTGCCATGCTCTGTCAAATGAAATTGGAGTCATCGCTTTTGCACATGCCCAGAACATGTTCTGCCAATCTCGATTCCTGAACTTCTTCATCCAATTACTGTATATGTCGTGCAACATTGATTCGGGTCTAAATGCACACATTTTACCCCCTCATTTCTTGATAGTTTGACTTTCCATTTCATCGTCTCTCGACCTATTTTACGCTAGGGTGTGCTTGTTTTGTCATATTTCATGTCCTAGCATGTGTGGGAAGGTCAAGGAAAAGTTCGGGTCGATTGGAGGTCGAAAAATGCGAAAACGTGAAGAAAAGTCCAAAGTCACGGTTTGGACGCAATTAACACGGTCGCTAGACCGTGACAATTGCCCCGAGACCTTGAAGTGAGGAGGTTCCATAGAAATTTTTGGTCTCAGTGGACTCAAGCAGTTCACACTCGTAAGACCGTGAACTCAAGCCACTGACCGTGAACTGAGTTAGTGAAGCGGCGCGTTTTGGCCCGAGATCACGGTCCCCGCCTTGAGTTCACGGCCGTGAACTCGGACTATGATCTAAGGCCGATCTGGGTATAAAAGGATAAGTGAACTGAAGGAGAAATGGAGTTTTTTTCTAGGGTTTTAGTTTGAGAATAAAGAAGGGTTTCTAGTGAGAGATTAGGGTTTCCTCTTCCCATTTTAGAGAGAGAAAGTGTCATTCAAAGGATGAAGAAGGAGACTGGGCTCATTTCAAGCTAGAGGAGTGAAGGTTTCTTCTTCTCAAGAGAGATTCAAGCAACAAGGAGGAAAGATTTTCATCTCATCATGGTTTTTTTCTCTCCTTTTCCTTGTTTTCCTGTGCCTAGCTATCTAATAGCCCACCTATTCACTTGAGTGTTTGTAAACCCTAGCTACAATTATGTGAATGCTTGTATGAATTGAATGATTTGTGCGTGTGGTTGTGTTTAATGTGAATGTGGAGGTATTATTCATGAATGATTGTGTTGTGTTGTGTTGTGTTGTGTTGTGTGAAAACCTATCAATCTAATTTCCATTCTAACATAGGTAGAGAGACAACCCCCCTTCCTTTCTTTGGAAAGAGGCTTGAATGCTGGGTTTTCTAAGGCAATTCATTGTCTCCTATCTAGGTTAATGCAGGGCAAACCTCTTATTTTGTATTAGCACCTAGGGTTTGGTTGTGGGTGGCCGTCCGAACTCTGATTCGAGGGTGAAGTCTAACCAACCCTTAGTCAATAGGTCGAGAGAGACACGTTGGTGGCTTGGATCAAATTCCCTTTCCTCGACCTAGAGACCAAGAGAGTGGCGCTTGGCTACTTGTTGCACTTCTCTACGGTTTACAACCCCCTTACCACATATGACCATTTGATCCAACAAGTCATAATGTTAACTAGGGGGAGCAATACTCGGGTGAACTCTTGTCTCATGGGACAAACCTCGATTTACTTTACTTGCTTGTTTTCATTTGTAGGTTTCTTAGTTTTAAATAAACAAAAAAAAAACGTTCGCTAGATAACAAACTAAGAAATTGAAGTAGGGGTACATGGACATGCCCGAGTTTGACAATTAAAACATACTTGCCATATACTGCACCTGGATTGAGTTTAAAAACTTGGGCTCTAGCTGGGATTAATTCGCGGTATATCTGTGGTGAGTCACACATAGTCGGTTTTCACCATATGGGAAGAATTTGCTGATTGCCTGAACAAGACCCTAAAGCATAATTTCATATTTAATCAACATGAAAAGCACGAATGAACAATTAAGCCAAAGCTAGTTGTAGCCAAAATGGAAAGCACGAATGGACAAAATGAAAAGTATGAATGGACAATTAAGCTAAAGTAAGCATGAACGGACTATTAACCTAAAGTCAACAGTAGCCAAAATGCACGAATG